AAAGACTGAGTAGTTTAGGCACTATTTTAAGAGTGCCATCAACTGCTGTATCGTAAAGCCAGATATGTTTGTTGATCTTTCATGGTGTGTAAGGAATTCATGGATGGCTTGCATAACGGAATCATTTGAAACGTTTGTATAAAGGAAGGTAACGTCGAACGACTTCATCACGTGCGCACTAGATGCACGTTAGGCTGACGGGTTAGGAACACCTGGGTATTCATAAGATGTGCTGGAATGTGCTTTAACAACTGAATAAGTATTTCGGTCAAAAACCATGTTATTCTATCCGGTGACCCGCTACGTAGCTAATCATAGATCTAACCTTGAATTATGATGGCTCGGCAGGTGGATTGAACAACGAATAGGTCAAAATGGCAAGAGCGGCTGGTTTACAGTTATGTGAAATTCGTCGTATTCTAGTAAAACGATGAGTTTTTCAAAGGACTTTTTACTATGAAAACGAAATTTACTTGTTGAATTTTTCTTCCGAGGTCATGAAAGCGTTTAACTGAGTAGAGTGATTTCAGCTTGACATTTCCAGCCACTGAAGAAGGCGAAACCGCCGAAACGTCGGCTCTTATGAATAAATCCTGTTGTAACAACCTCGTCTCTGCTCATCAAGAAAACAATGAATGATTCAAATAAGTATGTAGCTGCTAAGAAAACGTGGTCAGCAACAGCGCTCCTCACTTATACTATCGTTCTCCACATATCTTGCCGATCTCATCACATTTCTCTTTCGGTTCGCTGCTATGCACCGATGTTGTTCTTCAATTTGTGTGTGGGAATGGCAATTTAAAACTGTCTTCCTCGTTACTATTAAATGAGTTCTGATGGTTGGCTTAAATGGGTTCAATATCGACTTGTGCTCCTTAGAGCAATCCCGTTAACGAGTGATTGCTGATAGCACCTATAAAACACGGCTGAAAGTAAGGCGGAACAAACGACCCTCATGGTGTGGTGGTGAACGCGTTAACATCTGGGAAAGATAGAAGCGTTTTCGATCCCCACTGCAGACACTTGCTGTCCGGAGCTTTGCGAACATCTCAGCATCATTGTGGCAAGACTTCCTAACCTATCTAGGCGATCACTCTTCACACATCTTGCTGATCTCAGCGCTTTACTCATCCGTTTCGCTGCTATGCACCAGTTTTCTTCTTTCACTTGTGCGCGGGACTGACAATTGAATTGAGTGCCTTCTCCACGAATATTGTTACTTAATGATTGTCGAATGTAATTCTCCCTGGAATCCCAGAATAGTCCTAATATGGTATTCCTAAATATTCATCACGACATCTCCCCTGCCTTTGTATATAGAAAGGAGCTCTTTGCAGACAAGTCTAGTGCCAACTTGCCGTACCAAAAGGGACCAGGGGTATGGGCGGGGTTGAACCACTGACGACGCATGTGGTGTTGAACGCCTTCAACCAATACGTTGTTGTCATAATCTATGGTAAGCCAAATGGGCAGAATTAGGTTCTAACAATGAACCCTTGTATCGCTGAAATCAAACATCACATCCAGCTAACGACCAAGTAGTGAGTTTCAATGATGAGGTGTTCCTAGTTCATCTTAGTGGCTGCCGGTTGTATAGGTTGTATACTAATGGGGTGCATAATCTTCCGTAACATGACTTATGCTTGTTGGACAATTCTAACATAATATCCACTTTATCTCATGTAAGGATATTTCAAAAAGCTCGAGTAAAAATGATCGTACAACTAGATATTTTTCCTATCTTTATACGACCAGTCTTTCACGTCTATGAGAATCCCAGCACTTCTCATTCTCGATTCGTTTCTTTGCATTCATCATTTGCGAAGGTCTTCCAACTTTTTGAGTGTGACTTCGGCTGCTGCTTGAGCGTTTTCCTTCCACTTTGAATGTCTTGGAATGCTAGGGGAGTTGGTTCTATCTTGAATCCAGAGATAGAGGTGCTAGAAAGCTCCCACTTCGATTGTAGAAAATAGTTTCTGTGTAGACAGGCCCGCTACCAATTTCCCAACCCCGGAGTAAAGAGAGGCTTGGTGACCCAGGTGCGGGATCGAACCAGCACCATGTTCGTGATTGTCAGCATCACTACTACTGTACTATCCGCCCCTAGCAGCCAACACTAGAAATACTAATTAAGAAGAACCAAATTAAGCTTTGCTGATGCTGAAGAAACTGTACCAGTAGCCATGAATGTAGTTTGTAACTGCAGAGTTCCTTCAGGTAAAATGTGTCGGATTCCCCAAAGACAGTACCCCTTCCAGTTGTCAATATCGCGCTCCAACGCAACTCAAGTGCGCGGTCTCAGCAGGCGTCACTTGCGAGTTATGAAAATCCAAGGTTATGGTTCCTGGATATTTCCCACTTTCTGATGAAGTTGTACCGTCTGTATTGCTGTTTTTGGACGGCAGCGATGTCAGGTGTTTCGGAAACACGTGTAGGAGGTTCCGGTAAGCCATAACCTTCTATTTTAATCTTTCTATATTTCGTTAGTTAAATCGGCTTTTTTGGTTTAGAAAACTTATTATCATTAATAAAGGCAAGCTGCGGAAGCCGGAGCTACAGTGGCATAGAGCTGATCTTGTGTTTGGTTGTAGGATAAGTCTTAGTTGTCAACCCTGTTTCCCATATAAGCCATTAATTAGTTGGAAATTTACGGTGACTATGTTATCCCTCTTTTTTGTTATTATTGATAAAAAAAGTTGTTCTCTTCCGTGGAAATAAAAGTATCCATTTGCAGGAAGATGAATTCCTGAAAGATTTTGCGAGCCTTTTCTTCATCTTTACAACCTCGTGTAAGCTTATCAAGAAAGAATACATATTAGTGCTCTAAATCAAATACCTCAAATTTCTTCATTTATTTGCACTGTTCAAATAGCATTATGGTTAATTCCAATATTTAGGTGAAGCAGCAGTGAAGTTTTCATATCCATTGTGTCTCCATGTGTGGATGCGAATTCGCCAATATGTGTATGGAAATTAACCAATGCGCTCTAATGTGCGCTTTCTTCATTTCTAGACATAACCACTTTTCTGGTTAGTCTGTGCGAGTTTTTTGTTTATCGCTATATTGAAGTGTATTTACACAAGCATGTGCGATTGACAGCCCTTCGGGGAAATCGGCATGCATGCTAGCGTAACTTAACATTACGGTGAGAATTTCCCACAGGACAGATCGCTTTCATTGTTTTCCTTCCGTTCATTAAAAAACTTTTCATGGGTCATAGGGTTGGGATAGAATTGAATTATGGTTTTTAAAAGTCGCGAAAGACGTGTTGCCCAATCTAGACAAGTCCACATTAACTGATTTCGGAGTAACCGCAGTTGATTGTTAGGTGATTTTGGTTACTTGTAAACTATTGCGGTTTTTTTTCGTCTTCCACAGCAGTGTTCTCTTTATTGCGTCATCAGTATCACCTCTACCACCTGTCGTCCCGTTAATCGTCGAGTGCTTGAGATGGCGTTAGCAAAACTTCCATTTTCCCGGTCGCATGCAAAATAGCCCAGTGAGTTCTGCTCGCTCTAGGAACTTGCTGAGCATCATATCTTCTAGGGTTTTTACGATGAACTATGGCGTTCAGGTTAGTGGTCTCCGTGCGGTACGTTTTACATCCAAAGGAATGCTTAACCTACCACTAATAGCTCCTATCCATCGGTTGTCGTTCAAACAAATTACGTGTCTAACTTGCCTTATCTTCAAAAGCTTGGAGTACATATCGGCATCTCTGGATTTCGGTCGTTGGTGCAGGTCGGAGCTTCGGATCCCTAGCATCGTCTTTTCGACTGCACGTTCGATACCGTTGAGTGACCTTTCATCCTACTTACGCAGCGACCATGTTTCTGGCGCATACGTTAGGGCAGGAAGTACCGTTGAGTCGAAAAGGTTGGCACGGAGTCGGGTGTTCTTTTTTCTCTTCACTACATCCTTGATACTCTTGAAAGCTCCCCAAACCGCTCGTTTCCTTTTGCTCAGCTTTGAAGCTAAGTAGTTCATATTTATTTCCCGACCTAGATAGACATAACTGAAGCATTCGGAGATATTCGTTCCGTTGAGCGTGAATGGGGCATGTGAAACCAATCCTTTCTTCATGAACATTGCTTTAGCGAGATTTATTCGAAGATCGAAGACCAATCATTACACAGCCCTTATCAAAGTCGTCAAGCATACGTTCTGCTTGGCTAATGTTTGGTGTTATAAGGACGATGTGATCAGCAAAGCGAAGATCGTGTAACTGCCGACCATCCATTTGCCCTCCCATATTATCCCATTCCAATGTTCGCATTACGTTCTCGAGGGTGGCGGTGAATAATTTTGGCGAGATAGTAACGCCTTACCTAACTCCTCTTTTGACGTCAATGTTAATATCTTTGTGGAATGGTGATATTCTGGTTGTGAAATTTTTATATGGCTCACAAAGAACATCTATGTACTGAATAGGGACTCCTTGACTATCAAGTGCTTCCATGACTGCTTCTATCTCAGTTGAGTCAAAGCCTTCTTTAAATCGATAAAAGTGAGACAGAGCTGATTCTGTACACTTGCGATACTTCAGTGAGTCTTGTTATTGTATAGATGTGGTCTGTCGTATTAAGTCTTTTCGAATTCCTTCCTGCTCACTTATCTGCCCTTCCAGTGTTCTGTCAGTCCGGTTTAGGACGACTCGAGTGTTTAGGATGTTTTTTTCGGAAAATCACTTTTATACGATCAAACAGGTTGTTGTCACCGGATAATCAATGGCCAGGATCCAGTATAAAAGAGCATAACCTGGTGAGTTTGCTCATTCGAGAGATGTTCCACTAAGGAAGATCGGACTCGATACGAAGAGTAAGACACCAGATCGAGAAGACGAAGAGCTGTGTACAATCGACTCGGATCAACGGCTGTGTTCATTACGAAAACGCCGAAGCGTTAACCAGGCGAAGACTATTTATCGACCTCGTGTAAGCTTATTAAAGAAAGAGTGCCAATTGATTAACATGTATCCTACCCATGTGTTTCATTGTCGATGTATATTCTCTTTTATCCAGAAGATGTGACAGATTTCGAAGGTCAGAGCTTCGCATTCCGGTTAGATATTGAGTGTGGTGGTTATATTTCAGAAGGTATCGTCCAAGCACTCATTGATCAGTCATGCCGACGTTAAAGGAAGGTCGGTTCTTCAAGTGTTCGGCATTTTCTTCTCGAAGCTGGTATTGTTCAATTCTTCTCCGATGAAATACCATGTCGAATTTCTGGAGAGAGAACCGGTGGTACGACATATCCATCTGCCTTTATTTCATGTGATGGTAGCAGGACGTGACTATTGAAGAGATCTGAGTGTTAGTCCTGAATTATTTTCTTCATAGCCTTTCTAAAAGTTGTAACCATTCTCTCTGGGCGTTAGAGTGCCATCATTTTGGTTTTGCAATTGGCGAAGCTTCGGTGGACTTTGCAAATGCTTTTCCCAGCCTCTGCAGCTTTGACCATTACTGCTGCTCTTCTCTCTTTAAGATATTCTTTTATCGCCTGTCTGCATTGTTTTGCAAGTTCGGATGTTAGTTCGCGGTTACCTGTAGCTCGCGCGATTCCACGCTGGCGTATTAGCTTGAGTGTTGTTGGAGGTAGACGTCTCTTGGTGACTTTCGTACTCTCAGCTTTCGTAGCGCTAACGTGAAGGTATTGAATGAACTGATCGTATTCCTCGTCAATGTTGCGACTAATGGTCGGAATAAGTCCCATTTTATGGTGGTTTTCGGACCTCAGTTTTTTTAATTTAGCAGCTCTTTCGCCTTTCTGCGTGTAATGAAATCTTACAAAAAGGAGAGCATAGTCTAGTCGCATGCAGAATTTTGGGAAATCATCAACGTTATTTAGGCACAACCTTCGATTTACTTCTTAACCTTGTGAAATCGCTAGTTACCGTGAATGGTCTTGGTTGCCGTGAGAAACATAGACAGCCGCTCACGCTGCTTTTTCCATTCTAATCCGTGGGTCACAATGTGATGTTCTTTAGGCGTTCTTCTTGGCCCAGTGTCAGCATTAAGATTTCCAGTGATGACCTTGAACAATGTGTGGTCTCCTTCATAGAAGTTCTCTAAGTCCGTATAGAACATCGACTTCTTCGTTATAGTTTGATTTACGCGCATAAACGACGAACATTGTCAAAGCGGGAATTGATCCACATCTCTTTAATCGTAAACTTCCGATTCGGCTTGCTAGTTGTTCTAACGCCCAGGCCGATAACATCGTTTCTTATCCTTCTTGCTTGCATGATCAAGTCTTCCATCGAGGACTAGGATGCAAGTGCGGGTGCACTGTTGGTGCAGATCGTTACCTTAGCCCTTTATGATTTAGGTAGCTTAGAATGGCTTTGAGATTTTAGTAGCTTTTCCGTACTCGTCTTACCCAACGCTGCCCGTTATTTTACTAGGTTAGCTCTTTGATACCCCCATATAGCTTGCCGAACTCTGAACATGGTGGCTGGGTGTACGTACGGGTTACTTGCCGATTTTTCCCAGTGTGGACATGGAGCTTATTTGTTGGAGGTAACTCCTAGCCCGCCCCACCCTCACATACTTCCTTGTCACTTGATTGCAAACTTTTGCCCGAATTGATTTGTAGAAAGCAACCGCATAAACGAGAACACACCCATGCACGCATGCTTGAATACGCCTTCCTGAATACAGAAAGTGTGTACCGAATCGACGCTTCAGAAACCGGGAGTGCATCTCCTGGCGTCATCTGCATCTCAGGGAAGCGAAGGTCGTTTTTGGTTCGCGGTTAATCCACTATCAGCCACCTGGGACGTGCCTCGTAGCCACGCGACTAACCGGCTCGAGATCCTTCATAGGAATGAGATCTGTGGATCTCATCCTTTATTTCATCACTTCATCTATTATTCCTTCAAATTATAGAACTCTTCAATATGAGTTAGGAACTGTTCCCGTATAAAAAAATGAGATTTAATGAACTAATTACCATATGGTACAATTGAATAGTAGATTAAAAACATCGACGCTGTGGCTCAAATTTTTTAAAATGTATCCGTGGTATTAACTATCTTTACGGCACCTCAACGGTACTTCCTGCCTTAACATATGGGTCATTCAACATGATTGAACGCGCGGTCGAAAGGACGATGCTAGGAGTATCACGTGTGACGCAAGCAAAGGAATAGATCCGAAACTCCAACCTGCGCCAACGGTCAAAAGTCAATGATGCCGTTCAGTACGTTAAACACGTGAAGATACGGTTGGCCGGACAAGTAGCGTGTATGCGGGGCAATCGATGGACAAAAACCGTTAGTGACTGGATTTCTTGGGATGTCAAACGTACTGCTGAAAGAGCACAGACCCGATGGTCAGAGTTCTTCGCGAAAGTCTAAAAGAAAAGTATGATGCTAAACGAGTCCCTGGGGCGAGCTGAACCCACTGGGCTACGCGGCAGGGGAATGCGTAAGGTTTACTGGCGTCCGCTGGAGTCACTCGCCGATCAATAGGACTGCAGTTGTACTGGTAATCTGTGGTGTATTCCCAGTAACCCACTGTCGCAACGTTTTCTCGGATCCACATCGTGGTGAAGACCTGGATACGCCGTTGCAAAGTTAAGTCAGAATTCGAAGAAGGGTCAAAGTCCCGTCACGAAATGTACCGTAGGTTTGTGTAGACGGCGCAGGCTTTGTCGTCCATCCGTCAATTGTCCATTTCGTCGGCTCGTGCGAGATCCTCTCCGTTCACATGGCCGTCCTCCGTCTTCAACTGATACGGCATAAGAAGATCATAATCAGTTTCTACTCACCGACCGATACAGCTGATGAGTACGAACTAGATGCATTCTACTATCAGTTTGAGGAATTATCCGCAATTTTTGTTTGATTTTGTTTGATCCATCTTCACGCATACTGTGCTGATCTCAGCAGTTCTCGCATTCGATTCGTTTCCTTACATCCATTGTCCGCGATTATCTCCCAACTTTTACATGTGCCTTTGCTGCTTGAGGGTTTCCATTTCATCTTGAATATTGTAGAATGCTGGTCGAACAATTCTCCCTGGAGTACTGAGATAGCCGGAATGGAGCGTACCTATTCGGATTTCAGAGAGTGGTTCCTTTCCAAACAAGTCCGGTACCAATTTCCCGAATCCGGAGGGATGAGAGACTTGGTTGGCCAAGAGCAGAATCGAAATAGCACTATGCTCGTGATGACGGGCATCACTGCCACTGTGCTATCCTTCCATTAGATCCGTAATTGTAAAGGTTATTAAAAATTTCTTCTTGGAAACTTCAACGCCGGAATAGGAAAAGCCAAGGAGAGCGGATCCAGGATGGGAAATTTTGGATTAGAAGAAAGGAATGAAATGGAAACCCTCTCGCAGGACTCTTATCTGCAGTCTCCTATCCTATCCTATCTTCCATAGGAACTCGTTCTTGCAGAAGAAGCAAAGCTGCCGCTTGATTTGGGAGTCTCCTAACGGCACGACTCATGCGGAGATCGACCATACTGTGATGAGAAGAAGATGGTGCCTACTTGATGCATCGATACTCTCGTCGTTCTGTACTGGTTCCGATCACTGGTTTCACGCGAAGATTCAATTCAGCCGTACCCTGGAAAAGAGTTCATGTCATCGACTACGAGGAAATAGCCTATATACGATGAGAACTTTCTGAGTGAAATTATGATAAAATTTGATTGGCCGATTAAGGAAAACTCGACCGCGGACTGCTTGTCGGTGGATTGAAAAGTTGTGCCGAATTCGGTTCAGTTCCTCACCCAAGGAGATTAAATCGAGTTGCTCGAACAGAGAAGGAAACTGAAGCTTGTTCTTACTGCAAGACAGCTAAAAGGCTAGTAATAAATGCCAACTGTAGTTGAACGTTACAGGAAGATATACATAGTTACAGGCAGGAGAAACTTCTGGCACTAGTATGGAAAGGAGGCAGTCGGAAAAATATCGTCGGAACTTGCTTGATTTTAATTTCAAGCTGTCAGCACTGATGAACGAAGATGGGGTCACTAAAACATCCCGCCATAATATGGAATTAATAGCGGAAACGTTCTACACCAACCTTTCCCGTTCCACGATCTCCGTTCCGGAACCTGAGATACCCTCTGGAGAAAGACCTGATGTTCTTTCCTCGGAGGTTCGTGTTTCCATAGAAAACATGAAAAGAGGCACAGCTCCAGAACCTGGCTGTAGGAGAACTATGGAAAGGTATATTTACGTCGGTATAAACAGGAAAGCCAAAAAAAAATCAGAAAACCACGGGTCTCCATCATATGAGTGATCGGGCCGGTTAGTTGCCAGGCTGCGTGGTTCGTCCTTAGTTGGTTAAAGGTTCTTCGTGGATCAAAAGCGTATGATCTAAACACCTAAAAAAGACTTTCGCAAGTCCTAATAAACACACTGGCTCGGCTGTTTACAAGTTGCCTGTCTGAATGCAAGGCCCCTGCTCGGTGGATGACCACCACGATCGTGCCATTGTTCAAGAAGGGTGACCTAAAGGATATCGGCAACTATCGCCCAATCCAAATGCTGTATGTCGTCTACAAACTTTTCACTCGAGTCACCCCAAACATGGTTGACAGAACACTGGTCGAAGGACGGCCATGTGATCAAGCAGGATTTCGAAAAGGATGCAGTACGTTTGACCACATCTATGACCACAAGACTTATTGAAGTGTTGTAAGAGTACAGTAAACCACTCTATCTCACTTTCATCCATTTAAAGAAGGCTTTTGACTCAGATGAGATAGAAGCAATCATTGAAACAGTGAGGGAGTTTCTTTTTTCGTCGTCGTATCGAGTCGAATCTTTTCACTAAAGCATCGCTTGAAAAAGGCGACCTCATCGGGTAGCGCTGTTTTATACAGGATAGTTGCTGTTGATAATGACCATCTGTTGACAAAAATTTGTTTTTCGACGGACAATCCGTACTTCATCCGTGGGTATTAGAAGCTGGCACATAACGTAATAGTACTTTATCAAATCAATTTTCTTTTGACAACGTGAATAATCAGCAAATAACTAATCGATTCAGATCATCGACGCTAGGGAAGACGAAGGCATCGCGACATTAGCTGAATGAAAGTTGTAGAACAACCTCGTGTAAACCGAACAACCTAAAGAGATTTATTGATTGCTCATGCGGGAGTTAAGTGAAGGTTGGTTTGGAACTGCAAAATGGTGACTGTTGAAAAGGAGTTGTTTATTGTACAAATTAAAATATCGTATCGTCCAGAAATGTTCTGCACTCCCTCTAAGTACAAATTTTTACGATAAAAATGTTCTCTCAGATAATATTGCTATTACAAAGCGTAGCAGTCGAATCAGCAAACCTTGCGACATTAGGTGTCCCTTTCTAAATTCTTAGGTTAGAGTCCTAAGGTTCACAACATTTGTTCTTTAATGTGGTCTGCAGGCACTCCCTCTTAAGAGGAATTCCGATTCGGGAATCTCTTACTTTAATGTTTGTAGTTGAAGACCTTAGATTTCTTCACGCCTTTGTCTTTGTTCTCCTTCTTTTTACTTTCTTTCTTCAAATAACATTGTACTTTATTCCATTATCTAGATGAAGCAGCAATAAATTTTTGTACCTATCGTGTTCTCATGTGTAAATGTGAATTCGCCGATTTGTACCTAGAAAGTGACCAATGTGATGGAATGTACGTTTTCTTCATTTCAAGTCATAACCACTTCTTATTCTTAGTCTCTGCGAGTTTTTTCTTTTTTTTTCCCTGAGTACATTGAAGTCCATTTGCACAACCATGTGGGACTGGCAAGCCTTCTTCGTGCAAATCGGCATACCCGCTACCGTCTCTTCACGTTACGCCGAGATTTTCCGACAAAACAGGTCACTTTCATTTTTTTCTCTATTTTTTAAAAGCTTTCCATAGGGCATCAGCATACGGTAGAAGTAAGTTATGGTTTTTAAGAGTCTCGAAAGACATGTTGCCCGATTTAGACAAATCCACATTAGCTGATTTGGGAGTAACGGCAGTTGGTGACCAGGTAATTGTGGCTGTTTGTATAGAAGTTCCGTCCTTTTTCTTAACCTTATGAAGTTTCAAATTTCTTATTTTCTTTGGTTTCTTCAAAGTTTCAAGTTTCTTCATTTCTTTGGTTTTTCTTCTCTTCATCTGTGGTCTTGAAAGTCTAGGTGTTATAGTTAGCCATTTTACGGAAGGGTAGGGATGCGTCGTTTGACATGGGTACTGATTCAACTGCTAAACTTCGTGTACACATAACTGGACCTGCAGAAGGTAGTGTTTTTGATTAAACTTCCCTCTCAACACTAATAGCTCATCGTCCATAAAGGTGTTTTTTCTTGTTGAGGATTTCTTTTTGTAAATGAGATTATGTGCCTTAAGAACCAAGACGCTGTAGAAGCGTCTATAGATAAGCTCACGCGAGTACATTACAAATGCAATACACCTTCGTTATGTGCTTTAGGTCCTGAAACGTTGTCGAATGGCTCCGCAGCAACTGGAGAACTGCGCAAGGGTAAGCTTCCTCCGGATCGTCACGAGATATATCACGTCAAAATGCCTGAGGGTAATACTGCTCGCACGAAACAAATTATGCAGAATGCTAGCATGATGCGAAAGCATGGTTTGTCACTTATGTCTATGAGCTCGTTTGTTGGTTGCGAATTTTTTTGTGTTTAAATTGTTGTGCTTACACGAGGTTGGTAACTAATCTTTATTCGGATGACGTCTCGACGTCTCCGTCTTCATGAGAGCGGATGAACTCAGTCGGTGGTCTACAGATGTTCTTTTTCTCGATGTGGCGTCTTCATCGTCGTATCGAGTCCGATCTTTCTCAGTGGAGCATCTCTTGAATGAACCATAGTCACCCGGCGATGCTCTTTAATACAGGGCGATGGCTTTTGATAATAGTGATTCTCCGCTAAAATTTTGTTCTGACACACATGATATACTCACTTTTTTGTAGTTAGTTATTCCGACTCATAAATGGTCATTAGTAACGTATTTGTAGCCATAACTAAAATTCTTTCAAAAAACTTGTGATGAGAGGACGGTAGTGTTCCTTGTTAACTTATCAGGATAGTTGAAGGGGCCAATTTCTGTAAATTAAGTATTTTCCAAAGCTGTGCACTTATTCAAACAAGGCAATCAACATCCAAAAGAAGCACATTTTATAAATATTATATGTGGGATTGAAGCCCAGTTGTCACTTTAATTCCGTTAGTATGAAGCATGGTATATTAGGAAGTATTGGTGAATGGGGTCGACCCATGTGTCCAAGGCTCGCAAAGCCTTCCATTCTTCCGGAGTCGGCAAATTGGTACCTGACTTGTCTGGGAGGGTAGCAGGACCGGTTCGATACGTTGGTAGACCACCGGGAGTCATTGTAGAAGCCTAATGTGCATTTAGTCACTTCAAAACGATGCTTAATGAAGTTGAATTCATGGCACACCCCTCAGGGATTGATCTACACCGGCAACTTTTAGCTTTTTAGTTGGTGAATTCATTAGTCGTTCTTTTAATCACGGTCGTACACAGGTATCGTGTTCGAACTGATGTGGGAAGTTTAAAAGCTTATCTTATGATATTAACTAAGAACTTTATGGAGATAGGGTTTTTCAGCTCAACGTAAATTATGTATCTTTATAGGTTTAGTTGTGCGTGGTACTACAGGTGTGCGACAGGGCGGCAGATCTGTGAGTCCAGTTGATAAGCGAAGTCCAGCAGTGATTCGGATGCGCCAAGAAAGTAAGTTTTTCTTTTTTTATTTAAGAATTCATTCATATAATGTAGTCGTGTATATAATTATTTTCACCATGCTTTATCTTAACGAGACCCGTTTTCACACCTACTATCCGGGTCCCATGAATCGCATTGAATTCGTTTCCTCGCATTCATTGTCCACGAAACTCTTCGAAGTTTTCGCATGTGGGTTGCCTTCTTTTTGAGAGTTTTCGCCTTCATAATGTGTTGTTGAACGCTGGTCGAGTAAATTCTCCACACAGTCCAGACATATCTAAGCTGTAGAGCGTTCCCACTTGGATTGCAGAGCACGACTTGTTCACAAACAACTCGGCCACCAAGTTTTCGACTCCGGTTGGATGTGAGTCTTGGTGAATCCAGGCGGTGTCGATCCATTACCGTGCTCATAATGGATGGCACCGCCTTTGTCCTACCACTCCCTGTTAAATTTATCTCGGTTCTTAATGTATTTATTGGTTGGTTTTGAACGGGAAGCAACTTAAAAAATGAAGTTGGCGGCTTCGCCGATTAATCTAGAAACTTTAAAATTCTTTTGCAATTGAAAGGCTCTGTTAGAAAGGTAAAGGTTGTATGCAACGTTAGGGTGATATGGGAAAAATTCTGTACTAGTTTACCGAATTTTCAACTCATATTGGAGTTGTGGAATAATCGCCTTTCTATCTCAAAATGAAGAGCTACAGATCTCGTTTCGAGAAGAATTGGTGTTCAGAAATCCATGCTTTCTTTTTGTCTAATCTATTTCCATTCTAGTTCACTTCTAATCGTAAACTTCAGGAGAGGAAGCGAGGTTGGTTGATCCCGTAATAACACGTTTGGGTGTGCGAGGATTGCATTCTGACGGAGCTTCTAAAATAATTAGTGGAAGAGTTCAAAAACGGAGGTGTTCTTGTTTATTAGCGGTTTTTTCTTTTTGTCGATATTCAAATTTTGTTCAGTTTAATACTCTGTTTGCTACATATTCTAGCTTTAGAGCAAATAATGTCTATGAATTGAAGATTCATTGTTCAATATAATCTTTTGTAGTGTTCAAACTTCGGAAAACTTGCGTTTGCCTCGATCAACAGATGATGTTGCGATTCGAGTTCGAATTCCTTCAAGCAGCGAAGTAGAAGAGAGGGTTTTCAGAAAGGTTATCCTCTTTTATTCAAAACGTTTTTAGACATTTTCGTTCAGTTGTACGCGTGATTGAATAATCTTCTTTTGTAGTTTATCGTATGTCTCTCTTTACCTTTTGGTTTGGATTTCTTGAAATCGAGACGAAGTAGTGGGTGTTTTTAGTGCGTCTCATTCGACTAGCTACCTATTGCCATGAACAGGTTCTTTGAGGAATTTATTAATGTTGAATTAGCTAACTATGTGGAATAGATTGATTTTATTGTCTATGGAGGACGCGTGTAGCGCAGTGGTCGGAGGCGCCCTACAGCACACGTGAGATCGATCGCCGCGCCCCAGGCTCACCAACTTTTCGTCCCTCCAGGGTCAGCAAATTGCCACTAGACTTGTCTGGGAGGTTAGCAGCACTGACTCGATATATCGGTAGTCCACCGCGAGTCAATTTAAAGGCTAGATATGCACTCAATCACCTCCAACGATGCCTAGTGGAGTTGAATACATGGCGCATCCCTCAGGAAATGATCAACACCGGGAGCTTTATCCCTTTATTCTCTATGAGCTCTTCGTAGCCACCTGAATTTCGCCAATCTTGTGAAGAAGACTACTATTCTTGCTGTGTTTTTTTCTTTTGGTTTGAAATCAACGAAGCCTACCAAATTTGAAGGTTAATTCATTCGTCTTAATAACATTAACTAAAAAGATAGTAATAGGAATGTTCTAAACACTTTTTTTCATGTAATCCTCGGATTATTCCAGCCTAAATCGCGGTCATCAATTGTGAGTCGTATTTCACGGCATCACGGGAGTGTTTTTCCACACGTGACTGTGAAATCGCGTAATATGAGTACTGGTAATCGGCCTGTTATAAGGTCAGTCAGAACAAGTCGTAAACCGATCCATTCGAGGTTAGCTAAAGTAGCGTCTGGTAGACGGCTCACTGGATCGACTCGCGTTGCTGCGGTTGGTTTTAAGTTAAGTTCGTTAGTTTCTGTCCAGTGTTTCTCGGTTTTTTACACGGTTTCCATATTTCAGCACTTAACCATTTATGTATTACCCCTTTTTTAGGATTGTAGTCACAATAAAGCGAATAGTTTAACAATTTTGACTACTAACCTGAACTTAGTTTTATTCAACGCTTTAGTTTTTGATTTTTTATTTCAGAGACCAATGGCATCACCTGATTATCTGGTAGAAGATGATTTATCAGCAGAAGACGAGGAGTTTGTAGACGATGAAATGATATGGGACGAAGAGGATGACGAATTCGATGTGGTGGAGTACGTTGAAGATACTCGTCCAAGTGTATACAACCGTATATCTAGGTAATTTGCGCTTTTATGTCAAGTATATATTTGTATTCTATTCTCTCTAAACTTTACTTGTTCTTATGCACAAGTCAATTACCCGTTTTGATGTGTTAGTTTCTTATCATTTTTATGGTATAAATAATTCGTTATGTAGACAAAGAATGACCTCATTACTTCGTTTAAAACAGAAGCTAGATTTCTTAGTGAGGAACCTGACGCATTGTACCCGTGAGGAATCCAGTCATCGTTTCACACAATTTCACCCCATTTTGCTTTCCTAGAAGTTGTATTTGTTTCCTCCCTAATGGTGGAAGTATATGGTCTATCTTTTACGAATATTTTCTTTTGTTGTCTTGTTTTTCCTCACTGAAAATTCATTGTTTGTCCACTGACTGAACATAAAGTGTTGTTCTGTAAGTGTACATTTGTTCCAGAATATGTGAACTGTCTAGAAATTTCTTGTAGTTCTTTTATGCATAGTCTATTCGCTAACACAGAACTAGAAAATTCGTTCATTTCGTTGTTAGGGTTTATTTTTAGGCATAATACCTTTGCTAATGGCTTCGCTTCAGGAACTAAATCGCTGACGCCCAAATAATGACAGATTGGTATCGCAATTTCGACGAGATTCATCTGTTTTGCGTAGAATTCCTCAGCAATTTCCCCATTATAGTGGATAACTTGTAGCAATGAAAAGGAAACCAATGAACGTAGGAATGTGCGTGTATCTATTGTTTACTGGTATTTGACACATTACTTTGTATAAACTGTTTTTTTTTTCATAAGTAGGAACTTTTGGAGTACTGGAATTAAAGTAACAATCCGCAGTTAACTATTTAAGCATGCTTGTTCCAGTTACATGCGAGAGGTCTTTTCTTTTCAGTCCTAATAACAACTTTTACTAGTAGGAAGAATGAGAACTGTGGGAACTATCTGGTATAACGCCTACTTTCACATCTGTAGGGAGCGTAGATATTTAAATGAATGGCGTAATCAACGGGTGGATTTCTGCCGTTTACAAGGTCGTTGGGTTGCTTATTCATGATACCTCATCTGTACTTTCGGACATAGTAAATTAGTTAGTGCTTAATTACAGCGAAAAGTGCATTTTTACTACTTGAAGAGATAAATCCCACAGCCTATTAAGGGAATCGAATAGCGAAGCGTTAAGTTTCACGAGATGTCTATTCTACATAACTGAGCAACGTCGTCGGATTTTACAACTACGACGATATGCATCCAAGCAACTGGATGTCATTGATTGTCCTGTAGAAGCACGAAGTTGTCCTAGAGTCTAGGTTTACAGCTCAGAGAAAGAGTTACCTAATTATAGCCTTGATAGTCTTGATGGGTTGGAACTTTTCGAAACAGTAGTAAAATTTATTGACCATAGGTAGAGATGACTTGGTTTTCTGGGTGTATGGTCGGACCACTGATCATGTGCGTATCGTCTATTATCCCTAAGCAATGGGGTTGTTGATTTCCTGAAAATTGCTTTAAGATTATTATACTCTAGGAGGAATGCTAAAGCATGGTTATTCATCTAAAGTAGTTTGGCTCACGAATTCCAAAATTGTGGTTCGTATTTCAGAAAAACCTGGGCCGTTTTTCTTTTAGATCTCAAAAATGACCAATATAAATAGATCACTAACCAATAGGCTAAGAACCCTAGTTATACGTTGCAATTTAAACTTGCGGGACATTCTCCAGCTACGATGCAGCTTTCATTATCCATTTTTTTCTACCATTTATTGTATGGCCCGATATCGTATTGTCAATGGTCTAGCACTTCCATCAATCTCTTGTCTCAAATGCGTCATCCACGATGGTCTTCGGATTTGTGCGCTGTTTCAAATGCCATTTGAAAACATTGTCTTTCTCGCTAATGTCATTGAATGCTGGCCGAAATGAATCTCTCTGGGGGTCCAGGGATTGTCCTACTAGAACGTTCCCCTGTCTAAATCACACATAGTAGCCGGTTTTTGTGAATCAGAGAGAGGTTTTCCCGGACAAGTCTACTACCAGTTTGCCGAACACCGAAAAATATTAGACCAAGTTGGCCTGAGGGGTGGATGGGAGTGGAACCAGTGACGACGTTTGTTTTGTAAGGTTTTTCTAACCACTGCGCTTCCCGCGCTCATATAATCCACAATTAGGAGCAAAAATTGCGTCGATGTGAGCATATTCAAGTATAAAGGGAAATGTTTACTGTGCCATTCAATCCAATGAGAACAATCTACCATTTTGATGTTCTGACTATATTGACGTTAACTGTCGCTGTGAATGTGGTTGTTTTATATTTCACATAGCAATTTTCAAATGTTAACCGATACATAAGTTCAAAACATAGTTTGTAAATCAGTTTTTCACGATTCTCATGAAGAATCCATGAAGAAATTCTCCTATTAGTCATCTTATCAGCACTTATAGTGCATAAGATGACATTGTTAACCTAAACGTGAAACTCTAGCCACTATAACAGTCTCTTGGATTACTAAGCCAACACGATGTTAGTGAAAAGGTTTCTTCTACTAACCTTTCGTTCTGGAAATCTAGCCACTGAATTTTTTTTATAAAATTATGTCCTTTATATACCAATCTTATAAATACAAAAACACATCTAACCATTTACTTAATTGGTTGCTTGGATGGCCTCTCCTCACTGGTTGTGCGAGCCCAAGCGTAATCTCCATTTCTATGGTGTTTGGCTGGTTTAGGCACTGTGGTTCCTCGGAGTGCCGAGGTCAACCTAGCCAAAATCTGTCCGAAGTTGTCACCACCACAGGCAGTCCCGCCCCTCTGTATTAGATTTGCCACCGTTCGACTAGTTTAATACAAGGGCGTTGGTGAAATCAGGTATTGGCTTACTTTTAGCCGCGCTTCCTGTTGGAAACGCCGAACTCCCCTACCTGGGAGGCCCAGCCAGGGTGATGAATCCCCTAGCTGTACATCGTGGCCCAACACCCAGGAACAGCTATCTTGAGGTGGGAAACATCTAATCGCTGAGTCTAAAATAACAAATACCTCATCAAATTATACTTTGTCTATATTGCAGTTAGTGGGAATTGATGTCGAATGTTGTTTATATAATGTTATAGACTGCCTATTAATATAATATATTCAGCGTTGTTCTAATCATTCCTAGAGAATTTTCTAGTTTTGTTAATGTACTACTTAAAAGTTTTTAAATTTTCACTGTCACACAGTTATTTGTTTTACAGCAGCGTTTTCACAAGTAGCAACCAACCATTAACAGTGATTTGCAAAGCAAAAGCAAAATCAGTCCGTAAGGATGCGCCAAGCATTCAGCTCCATTCGTTAGATTAAAGAGGTGATTGAATGCATATCTGGCGTATAAAGTGACGTGCGGTGGCCTACCGATGTATGAAGTTCACCTGTATCACCTGTAGTCCCGTTGATTGTCGAGTGACTTGAGGGCGCCAGTAAATCATCCATTTTTCCCTGTCGCGTGCAAGAGTAGTCCAGTGGGTTCTGCTCGCTCTAGGAACTCGTCGAGCATCATATCTTTCTTTAAGGCTCTTTGTGAAAAACTCTGAACATCGGATCGGTGGTCTTCCTGCAGAACGTTTGACATCCCGAGGAATCCAGTCTCTAACGGCTCTTGTCCAACGGTTGTCATTCATACGCATTACGTGTCCGGCCAACATTATCTTCGATGGTTTGGCGTACAGAACGGCATCTTCGATTTTTGATCGTTGACGCAGATCGGTGCTTCGGATTCCATCTCTTGCTTCTCTGGAACGGGATACGCCTAGCGTCGTCTTTTCGACTGCGCGTTCGATAACGCTGAGTGATCTTTCACTCAGTTTACGCAGCGACCAGGTTTCTGACGCTTACGTTAGGGCAGGAAGTACCGTTGAGTCGAAAAGGTGGGGACGGAGTTGGTGTTCTTTGTTCTCTTCACTACATCCTCGATGCTCTTGAAAGCTTCCCAAACTGCTCGTTTCCTACTGATCAGCTCTGGAGCTAGGTCGTTCATCATGATGACGTCCCGACCTAGACATAACTGGAGCATTCGGAGATATTCACTCCGTTGAGCGTGAATGGGGCATGTGAAACCAATCCTTTCTTCATGAACATCGTTTTAGCGAGATTTAGTCGAAGACCAATCATTACACAGGCCTTATCAAAGTCGTCAAGCATACGTTCTGCTTGGCTAATGTTTGGTGTTATGAGGACGATGTGATCAGCAAAGCGAAGATCGTGTAACTGCCGACCATCCATTTGCCCTCCCATATTATCCCATTCCAATGTTCGCATGACGTTCTAGAGGGTGGCGGTAAATATTTTTGGCGAGATGGTATCGCCTTGCCTAACTCCTCTTTTGACATCAAAGTTAATATCGTTGTGGAATGGTGATACCTTGCTCGTGAAATTTTTGTACAGCTCACGAAGAATCTTTATGTACTGCGTAGGGACCCATTGACTATCAAGGGCTTCCTATACTGCTTCCATCTCGACTGAATCAAAGGCCTTCTGTAAATCGATGAAAGTGAGACAGAGCGGTGTTTTGCACTCTCGCGATACTTCAATGAGCCGTGTTACCGTGTGGATGTGGTTCATCGTACTAAATCCTTTTCGAAACCCTGCTTGCTCACATGGCTGTCCATCGTCTAGTGTTCAGTCAATCCTATTTAGGATGACTCGAGTGAAAAGTTTGTAGACGACAGACAGTAAGCAGATTGGGCGATAGTTGCCGATATCGCGCAAGTCACCCTTCTTGAACAATAACACGGCCTTGCTGGCCTTCCACTGAATAGGAACCTTGCATTCAGACAGGTAACGTGTGAAGAGCCGAGCCAGTGTGCTTACGGGGATTGGCGGAAAGTTCTTTAGGTGCTTTGGTCTTGTCCTGTTCGGACCCGGTGCTGTTCGATTTTTCACCGACGAAATGGCATGTTGGATTTCGGTAGGGGAACCGGTAGTACAACATATCCATCCTCCTTTATTTCATAAGGCGGAAGGTGGACGTGGCTATCGTAGAGATCCGAGTAGTATTCGTGAATGATTTTCTCCTTTGCCTTTCTGGACGCTGTAATTGTTCCGCCTAGGCGCTAGAGTGCAATCATTTTGGTCTTGTAATTGGCGAAGCTTCGGTGGGCTTGCGAATGCTTTTCTCGGTCTCTGCAGCTTCGGCCATTACTGCTGCTCTTCTCTCTCTAAGATCTTCTTTTATCGCCTGTCTGCATTGTTTTGTACGTCCGGACTTTAGTTCACGATTGCCTGCAGCTCGTGCGATTCCACGTTGGCGTATCAGCACGAGTGTTTCTGGAGACAAACCTCTCTTGGTGACTTTCGAACTCTCAGCTTTCATAGCGCTAGCGTGAAGATGTTGAATGAGCCTATCGTAATCTTCGTCGATGTTGTCGACAACGGCATCTTCCCAGCAGCCGACTAATAAATTTAATAAATCCCAGTTCACGGTGGTTCTGGGACTTCGGTTTTGGGATTTAGCGGCTTTCTCTCCTTTCCGGGAAAAATAGAACCTTGCACGGAGACCATGGTCTGATCCCGTGTAGAGTTTTGGCATAACAGCGACAGTGGTTAGGCAAAACCTTCTGTTTGCTGTGATGTGGTCTATTTCGTTTTAGTGCTCTCCACTGGGAGACTCCATGTCTAGCGTTGAGGGTGCGGCTTCTGGAATTGCGAGGTACCATGGATTGTCTTGGTTGCCATAATAAACTCAGACATCTGCTCACCCTGTTCGTTCCATTCTTATCCGTGGGTCTCAATGTGACGTTCTTCAGACCCTTCTTTGTCCAATCTTGGCGTTGAAATCTCCAATGAAGAATGTGTGGTCTTCTCTGTAGAACTTCTCCAAGTCTATATGGAACGCTTCGACTTCTTCTTCGTCATAGTTTGATGTCGGTGCGTAAACGACGAAAGTTGTCAAAGCCGGAATTGATCCACGTCTTCTTAATCGTAAACGACCGATTCGGGTTGTAAGTTGTTCGAATGAATCGATGTTCATGGACAAACTGGTGTTGACGAGAACGCCGACGCCACCGACTCCTCTACTGTCGCATGTTCCGAGGAACAGTTCTTCTCCGTTGTCATAGACGGCGTTGAAAGGCTGGCGTCTTCTCGTCTCGGCCAGGCCGATGACGTCGTGCTTTACCTCTCTTGGTTGCATGAGCAAGTCTTCTACCGAGGACTCGGATGCAAGTATACGTGCATTTTAGGTACAGATCGTCACCATAGTTCTTTGAAATCCAGGCAGCTTCCATTGGCCCTGAGATTTTGACAGCCTCTCCGTACTTGTCCTACCAACGCTGCG